GATGGGTGGCCAGAGTTAACAGCCACTCCCTAGACGGCCACTCCTGCCCACTTGAACACATGCCCCTGTTAGGCTGACCATCCCCACGTCCTCTGCCTCCGGGGCTACGACTGGACTAGCTGGGGACGGACTGGGACCATCAACCCTGAGTGCACCTCTGACCGACCGAGGGCCTCGTCTCTGAGTGCTGGCTTCTGCCTAGTGCCCAGGAGCCAGCAGCTGGTGCCCAGTCCCTGGGGAGCCAGGGATTGGAGTGGCCACAGGACACAGGGCCGTGGCGTGGATGGAGGGCAGGCTGCCTCTCTTGCCATGGCAGCTGCCGTTGACACCCCCTGACTCTGGCCCAAACACACTGGGCACAGGACACTCTAGCTCTGAGAAGAGCCCCGTGGACTGCCTAACCTGGGCCAGGCCACTGCGCAGAGCGCCCACACGTGGGTGACGCTGGGCTCAGACAGGCCTGAGGGAGCGCCCCAAGCCAGCCGGCCAAAGGTCGCGGGGCTTCAGCGTGGGCCTGGGGGCAGCACATTTAGGAGACCCGTCCTTCTGGGGACTGTGCCTCTCACAGAGGCCCAGGAAGGAGGCTGACCAGCCTCGGAGCGGCAGCAGCTTGGACTCCCTTCTCCGTGAAGACCCGCCGGGTGAGCACCGTGGGATCACGGAGGCTTTCTACGGGGAAGGAGGAGACAAGGCCTTCTCTTCCCGGGGTACACTTGGCAGTGAGGGATTCCTCCGCTTGTCTGTGTAAAGCAGGGCTTCCCTGAACCTTCCTAGTTAACTGGGGAAGACAAGGAAGTTTCCCGGAGTTGTCGGAAGGCGGTCGTGTGTGTGTGTGTGTGTGTGTGTGTGTGTGTGTGTGTGTGTGTGTGTGTGGAGGGGTCAGGTCTTCACAGTCTTCACGGGCCCTGGACAGAGCTGACCAGTGGCCTCCCGGAGCCTCCCCACGTGTTCCTTAAGCATCTCTCTCAGCCCCACCTCATCACATCAGAGCCTTGGCCTGGAGTCTGGTGGCCCCTGAGACCTGGAGCCTGGTGGCCCTGTGAGACCTGGAGTCTGGTGGCCCCCTGAGACTGGAGCCTGGTGGCCCTGTGAGACCTGGAGTCTGGTGGCCCCCTGAGACTGGAGCCTGGTGGCCCTGTGAGACTGGAGTCTGGTGGCCCCTGAGACTGGAG